GGAGAGCCCCCCTACCGGGAAATCGATTTCGGTTTCGTGTTCGTGCGTGCCGTGCGTGCGGGCGAGGCGAAGCTGCGTGGGCGGGCGAGAGGAAAGTCTCCTGTGGCTGAGGCGCGGCCGGACCAAATGATTCTCCACCGGGCGGCCGGTGGCGCGCGGTGTCCCGCCGGTGTCCCGGTGGTGTCCTCTGTGGCTGAGGCGCGGCTGGACCAAATGATTCTCCACCGGGCGGCCGGTGGCGCGCGGTGTCCCGCCGGTGTCCCGCCGGTGTCCCGTCGGTGTCCCGTCGGTGTCCCGATGATGATGATGATGATGTTGATGATGATGTTGATGTTGATGATGATGATGATGATGATGATGATGATGATGATGATGATGATGATGATGATGATGATGATGGTGCTGATGATGATGATGGTGATGATGATATCGATAGTGAGACCGAATGTGGTATCGATAATGAGACCGAATGTGAGATCGATTGTGAGATCGATTGTGATATCGATAGTGAAATCGATAGTGAGACCGAAAGTGAGATTGATTGTGATATCGATTGTGAGATCGATAGTGAGATCGATTGTTAGATCGATTGTGATATCGATAATGAGATCGATAGTGAGACCGAATGTGAGATCGATAGTGAGATCGATAGTGAGATCGAGGGTGAGATCGATAGTGAGACCGAATGTGAGATCGATGGTGAGATCGATAGTGATATCGATAGTGAGATCGATAGTGAGACCGAATGTGAGATCGATAGTGAAATCGATAGTGAGACCGATTGTGAGATCGATTGTGATATCGATTGTGATATCGATAATGCGATCGATAGTGAGACCGAACGTGAGATCGATTGTGAGATCGATCGTGAGATCGATAGTGAGATCTATAGTGAGACCGAATGTGAGATCGATTGTGAGATCGATAGTGATATCGATAGTGAGATCGATAGTGAGACCGAATGTGAGATCGACAGTGAAATCGATAGTGAGACCGAATGGGAGATCGATAGTGAGATCGATCGTGAGACCGAATGTGAGATCGATAGTGAGATCGATAGTGATATCGAGAGTGAGATCAATCGAGTGCGACGTTGGTCCCTCCCCCCCTCACCTCCTTATCACTCGAAGGGTGGTCGTATAGGTATAAGTATCAAAAATAGCATCAGTGGTCTAGTGGTAGAATACATCGCTGCCACGCTGAGCTTCTGACGGCCACGCGGCAGGGCTGCTGGCAACAACGCCACTGAGGCAGCCAGAGGCAGCCAGCAGGGCTGCCAGGGGCCAGGGCTGCTGAGCAGGCGCGAAAGTCGCCCAAGATGGCCCAAGAGGCCGCCAAGACGTCCCGAGAGAGCTCCAAGAGGCGTCCCAGGTGGGCCCCACGAGGCCAAAACCGTCAAAAGTCCTTAGGTGTTTATGAAGAGTTTCAAGGGTTCTCCACATTTCGAGCGTCCGACGATCCAAGACGTCCAATGAGGCCCCCAAGAGGACCCCAAGACGGCCTAAGAAGCGCCCAAAACTGTCCCAGAGGGCCCCAACACGGCCTCAAGAGGGGCCCCAGAGGGGGAGCACGAGCCGAAAATCCAAGCCTTCCGCCCCAAGAGGCGCCCATGAGACCTCAAGAGGCTTAAAAGAGGCCCCCAGAGGCCCCCAAGAGGCTTAAAAGAAGCCCCCAGAGGCCTAACACCAGCCCCCAAGAGGCCTCAAAACTGCCTTCAGGTGGTCCCCGAGAGGCCTCAGCGAAATCCCAACGAACATCTACGAGGCCTCAGACCCACAACCCAAGCACTGCGGCGGGATTTGCCGAAAGCCATTTGGTAATTCTATTGTGGGGGATGCGAACACGTGCTCCGTACGCGCATGATAACTTACACGTCTAAAAAGTATGAGGATTGCGTTTGTGTCGGGATACTCGCGCAGACAAATCGGTTCACGCGTGCAAGCCTTATGCATATTCGATGCGCGTGGGATGCCATCATGAGGGGTGGAGAATGTGCGCACATGGTCGTTTCTGAATTACGCGCGCTACTTACGCAGAGCAGTTGTTGTATGAGTATGCGGGCACCGTGCAAATACAATTATCCTGCGAAGGGGAACTGTATGACTTTTTGCATGTTGTGAAACTGTACCGCGTAGAGAAAACAAACAATGGCATGCAATCAACTCAGGGCGGAATCCATAAGAACTGTTCACTCCTCATCCTCCCCCTCTTCATCCTCTTCTTGTTCCTCGTCATCCGCCTTCTGCGGGGCCTCCTCCTCCCACCTCATGTTCCGCCTCCTGTTGCTCCTGCTGCTGCCATCGGGAGCGGCAAAGAGGGGGGCGTCAAAGAGGGGGGGGTGCAAATCATGACCGGCGGCATGTGCGCGGCCCAGCGGGGGGGCCAGGGACGTAATGAAATAAGAAGGGGCGCCATGAAATCTGGGGAATATCATGCCCCCCGCCATGATATCCACCCCCCCCTAGTCATCACCCCCCTCTTTTCCGCCCCCGATGCCACCAAATGCAGAATTAGCAGCATCGTCTGGAGCCATACGGGTGGTGACGAGATGAAGCGCGGCGGACGCACAACCACGTGGCGAAGCAGCAGCACAGCAATGACGACGATGAGGAGGAGGAGGAGGAGGAGGAGGAGGAGGAGGAGGAGGAGGAGGAGGAGGAGGAGGCAGCAGGCGCCAGGCCCGGGAAACGATCAGGGAGGACGGACACGACGAGGACGACCCCGATGAGATCTGCAGGCGGTCTGGAGGCCCCCGGAGAGCCGTGGCCCCTCGTGGCCCCCCGCCGTGGCCCCCCTCCGCGCAGCTGCGCGACGCGGTCAAAAGGGTCTCGATCCTCGACCTCGATCCTCGACCTCGATCCTCGATCCTCGGTGCTGGGCGGGTAACGGTCTCGATCCTCGACCTCGATCCTCGACCTCGAGACTCGACATGCTGCCTCAATCCTCGACCCCGGGTCCTTCGTGTGGAGGCCTCCTGGCTGGGGTCCGAGCAGACGGGGCCGGAAGGTCGCGCCGCATCGCTGATGCACCGCCGGTGCATCGCCGACATGCTTTGCCGATGTACCGGCGACGTCGGCGATGCACCAGCGACGTCGGCGTGGAGAACATCTGGCTACACGTCGAGGCAGATCGCCGATACGTTGGCGATGCGGCGCGATCTTCCGACCCCACCTACTTGAAGGTGCCAAGTGGCACACAACCAAAACATAGACGCAATTCCCTGGTTTCCCAATACCTTCCATATTGTCAGGGTGTTCGTCTTCCCCTCCGCTCCCCATCTGTTCCATGCTCTCGCTGGAGCCGAGGGTCCTTTGTGTCTGCGCGCTCCTCCCTCCTGGCTGCTCCGACCCCATCTGGGGGGACCGGATTCACGGCGATCTCCCTCCGCCCGAAGGCACTTCCGGGAGGCCGCTCCGACCCGGGCCTGAGCGAACTCGCACGGCCGCGCTCCCACGACCTGTGCGCGCGCGCGCCGCGAACGCCGCAGGCCCCACGACGGGCACGGCCCCCGACCACCCCCCCCCGGCGGCTGCTCCCCTCGTCCTCGGGCTCCGCCCTGGGCCTGTGAGCGGTGCCACTGTCTCGACACTTTCGGCGACAGCTCACGGCAGCCTCCCATGCCACCTCGCTGGCTCTGGCGAATCGGCGCTGGCCGGCGCTGATCGAGGCCGATTGGCGCTGAGTCGACGCTAATCGACGCTGTCCATCGACTACCAGACGCTGGCGCACGCTGACGCACCCTAAAAACGGAAGTCCAAAGGGATACCAGGCTCCCATGATTTGCTACCGATCGGCGACACCGAAGGGTGTGGTTTGCAAAGGGTGTTGTTTGCAATCTGCACCCTGGGGAACACCATGGGGGGCGGGCGGGGACCTCGATTAGAGGCCTCCTAGATATGGAGTCAGAGCAGATGGGGTCGGAGGATCGCGCCGCATCGCCGATACATCGGCAATGCGTCGGCGATGCACTGGCGATGTCGGCTCGGCGGTGCATCGGCGACGCTGGCGCGGAGAAAATCGGGCTCCGCATCGAGCCGCATCGTCGATGCATCGGCGATGCGACGCGATCCTCCGACCCCATCTGCTCGGACCCCGCCTAGGAGGCCTAGATCGATAGAGCTCTCCGCCGCGCCCCGAGGAAGCCCCAGCGGGGACAGTGGCGCACTCCCGGGCCCCAACGGCGCCGATCGCAAGCCACACCCCGGCGTGGCCACACGATTTGCCGTCCCCGAACCGGACCCTCGTCCTCGGACTTCACCCTGGGCCTTCGACGTCGCCACTGTTTCAGCACTGGCGCTGCTTCCCCACTTCGGTCTCCGGGGGGCCGGCTTCTGGCCGGCAGGCCGCCAGCGCCTCTGCCGCCTGGCCGCCTGCCCGCGAAGAAATGGGCAGCCTTTCGAGGCTGCTGGCGCGCTGCGAGCGCAAAAACCAGCCGACGGGGCGGGCCGAGGGCCGGCCGAGGAAAACGAAGGGGCCCGCTGCTTGCGCCTCCGAGCAAGAGAGGCGGGCAGGGGCGGGGAGGGGGGGGGGCAGCGCCTGAGAGGCGAGGGGCCGCGTGCGGCCGAGCGGGCGCCGTGCACACGTCCGTTCGCGCCCGCAGGGAATTTGAGCGAGGCCTCAGGTCAGATCATGCTGAGACCTGCACGCTCGGATCCTCGCAGCGGCTGCTTCCTTCAGAGAGAAGAGAAATCCGAAGTTCGGGGATGGACAGACCCCCCTTTAGCAAAACGTGGTTTAGTGAAAACGACCTGAGGCCCAAACCTGGCGGGCGCAAGCCTGTAAAATAACGGCCACGGCGCCCTCTCGAGAACCGAAAACGGACAATTCACTAATCGACGTGTCACTGTTGGGGGTTCTGTCCACCCCCGAGAAGTGCTTGAACGGCCGCCAGGCTGTTGCAGCGGGAGAAGCCTGCGCTACGAAAGCTAAGTGGCCCCACCGCGGCTGCGGCGTACTGATCGCCCTCCTGTCCCTCCTGCCTCACATGATATGCTCAAGGGGCCCCATGTACGTCCCTGATCTCGGCGCTGCCAGACGGCGTAGGGCAACTGGCCACATATAGAGCAAGCGCGGCACATAATCATCTCTCTGACTCTGACTGCGCTGCCATCACCTCCTAAAAAAAACAAGGTGGTGGAAGACTTGAGAAGAGGCGAGAATGGGTGCGGGAAGGGAGCAGAAATTGCACAAGGCTTGCGGCACCTGCTACTTCGCAGGCTGCAGAAGACCAAAAAACGGGTCCATGGATGGTGCAGGGTGAATTCCCGCCGCAAGCAAAACCGCGGCGCGCGGAAGGCCCTGCACGGGCCAGCTAAGCGCGTATAGAGCACGCGCGGCACAGAATCATACTGCGCTGCCATTCGACTTCCAACAAAAAATAACAACGAGGTGGAAGACTTGCGAAGAGGCGGGAATAGGGGGCGGGAAGAGGGCAGAAATTGCTCGAGGCTTGCAGCGCCAGCTACTTCGCAGAGCGCAGGAGACCAACACACGGCTTCTAAAAGAAGCAAACTGAGCTTTCGCCCAATGCCCACGCAAGGGTTGCACTGTGAATCCCCACCGCAAGCAAAGCCGCGGCGCGCGGGTGACCCACTTCACCCCGCGCCGACTGTCGCGGCCCGCAGGCAGCCCGCTCAGGCCAAGCCTGCTGGCCTTCCCTCGACCGCCCACGGGGACTTCTGGAGGCCTTCGGCAAGCATCGCTCCCGTTTCAGCACGTGTCCCTGGGTTGTGTGCGCATGTCTGTAATGTGCACGCTCACGGCATCGGTGGCAGCCACGAGGACACGCTGGGTGAGCAGGGGCACGGCCCACGTCTCCGGAAGTGGCGAGAAGAGCGCCGCCAGAGCGTGCGCTAAGAAGAAGCCATGGCCAGGACACATGAGCGGCCGTTCCAGAGCGCTCTGGAACGCTCTGAGAGCGTCTCGGAACACGCTGGAAAGGTTGAACCCCTAGTCCTAGGCCCGCCCCGTGCGTGCTCAGGCTCCTTCTCCCGCCGACCTCGGCCGGCCTTGGTGGGCGAGGGTTCTGGGCTGCAGCGGGCGCCGGCGCATGAGACTCCTGAGCTGCGCGTGCGCGTCTGCCGTCTTGGGCAGGAAGACTGGGCGGGCCCTCTGGAAGCCACGGCGAGCGGCGCTGGCGGACGGGTAGTGCTGAGCCGCGTTGAGCGCGAAGCCCTGGATCTTCGCCGGGAGCACCTCGAGGCAGCCGGCCTCCAGCGCATGCCCGCCCACCTCGCGGGCGCCGTGGAACGCCTCGGAGAACGCGCCAGCGACCTGCGGGGTCAAGAAGTTCACGAAGGCCATGCCGCGGTCAGAGCTGAACCGGCTGCGCAGGTCCGAGCGGAGGTGCACGAAGTCGTACTCGAGGGCGAAGCCCGCCCGGTCAAGCTCGAGGAGGAGACCCTCCTGGGTGACGGCCTCCGGCACGTGGCGCAGCATGACCGTGGTGACGCCGCCGGCTGCGCTGGTCGCAGGGGCCTGCTAGGTCGGGCCTGTCCCCTATACAGGGGGATTTTGGACGAAAAGTGAAAAGTACCCCAAAAAATACTCAAACGATGCCCAAAAATATTCTAAAAATAGTCCCCAGACGATTTCTTGACTATTTTTGAAGATTCCCCCTGTAGAGGGACAGGCCCGACTGACGCCTGCACCGCAGCTGCGCCCGGCGGGCACGGCGCCGGCAGGCCGGGCGGGCAGCCCGAGGTGCGGCCGCCGCCGGCAGCTCCTCGGCCGCCGCACCCCGCAGCGCTCTGCCCTCCTGCACGGGCGGCCGGCGGCGCGGAGAGCTCCTCGAGCTCCGCCAGCCTGAGGACCGGCCGCCTCTCGGGGATCGTCTGGCCCGGGGCAAGCCAGACCCGGGCCAGTCGGGCCTGGCAGACTGCTGCGAGATCCTGCAGGATCCTGCGCCCGGGCCCGGGTCCCTGCGCAGGACCCCCTGCAAAGATCCGGCGAGATCCTGCACCCACACCCTGGTCCACGCGGCCCTGGCCCTGCAGGATCCTGCAGGATCCGGCGCTCTGGCTGACCTCCGTTTGCACACACACACACACACTCACACACACTCACACACACTCACACACACACATTCACACACACACGCACACACGCACACACGCACACACGCACACACGCACGCACGCACACACGCACGCACGCACGCACGCACGCGCACGCGCACGCGCACGCACACGCACACGCACACGCACACGCACACGCACACGCACACGCACACGCACACGCACACGCACACGCACACGCACACGCACACGCACACGCACACGCACACGCACACGCACACGCACACGCACACACACACGCACACACACACGCACGCACGCACGCACGCACGCACGCCCACACAGCCCACACCAACCCACACCAACCCACAACAACCCACAACAACCCACACAACCCACACAACCCACACCAACCCACAACAACCCACAACAACCCACAACAACCCACAACAACCCACAACAACCCACAACAACCACAACAACACACCACAACAACCCACAACAACAACAACCCACAACAACCCACAACAACCCACAACAACCCACAACAACCCACAACAACCCACAACAACCCACAACAACCCACAACAACCCACCACAACAACCCACAACAACCACAACAACCCACAACAACCAACCCAACCCACAACAACCCCCAACAACCCCAACAACAACCCCAACAACAACACACACAACAACACACACCAACACATACCAACACACACAAAAACACACACACAAACAACACACAACACACACAACACACCACAACACACCACCACAACACACACACAACACACCACAACACACCACAACACACCACAACACACCACAACACACCACAACACACCACAACACAACACACCACAACACACCACACCACCACAGCACACCACAGCACACCACACACACACACACACAACACACCACACCACAACACACCAAAACACACCACACCACAACACACCACAACACACAACACACCACACACACACACACACCACAACACACCACACAACCACACCACACACACACACACCACAACACACCACAAACACACACACACACCACACCACACCACACCACACCACACCACAACACAACACAACACACACCACAACACACACACCACACACACACACACACACCACACACACACACACACACAACACACACACACACACACACCACACACACACACACACACACACACACACCACACACACCACACACCACACACACCACACACACCACACACACCACACACACCACACCACACACACCTCACACACCACACACACCACACACACCACACACACCACACACACCACACACACCACACACACCACACACACCACACACACACCACACACACCACACACACCCACACACACACCCACACACACCCACACACACCCACACACACACACACACGCACGCACGCACGCACGCACACACAAAAAAAAAGCACAACACAACAAAACAACACACACACAAAAACAAACAGTGTGTTTTTTGTGTTTCTTTGTGTTGTTGTATGTGTTTTTTTTGTGTGTGTGTGGGTGATTTTTTTGTGTGTGTGTTTGTGTTTTTTTTTGTGTGTGTGTGTGCTTTGTGTGTGTGTGTGTTTTTGTCTCGAGGCTCCCGACGCCTCAGGAAGGTCTGCCTCTCCGGCACCGCGGCGTGGGCCTCGCTCGGCAGGTGCTGCACGGCGTTGGCGGGGCGCGCTGGGCACGGCGAGCGCCACTCCACGTGGACCTTTGCGGGCTCGCCGAGGCTGCACTTTCCTGAAGGGGCCCCAAGACACACAAGTAAGTACTTACACACGAATAAAACTATTCCCCATATCTTCCCATACTTTCTGGGTTTCTGTCTTCCCCTCCTCCCTCCACATCCCATATTTTCCAATGTTTTCTGGGGAATCGACGACCAATTGTGTCTGTGTGTTGTTTCTCTTCCTGATTTCCAGCGGCCGACGACAACACGCGGAACCGACCGGGCGCAGCGCAGTCGAACCCAGAGTGTGCCATCAAGCCTGGGCCGCACAGCAACACGGGCATGGCGCGCAGGTAGCAGTTGGGATGGCACCCTTCGAAGCCCTGTGACTTGAGCCAAAATGGCCACGGACGGGACAGCCGAGAGCAATTCCAGGGGAGTCACGAGGGACGCAAGGCACGAACGAGAGGGGCCCAGGGGCCACGGACTCCCAAGTCAACTCCCATGCCACGGTCAACCGCGTAAATAAGACAAGATCCTTGGCGACGACGTCGGCTGTGGTTTCTGATGCAGCGTTGACCGATCACTCTCAAAGGAGCGCGGCTTTGCGATACCGCAGACCCTCCGTTCAAGATCGGTCGATGCGGGGCCACTGGGGGCGTTCAGCACTGAGCGCTCGCGCTCGGGACGCCCGCACATCAACGCAGCGCGAACCCACCGGAAGGACGCGGGGGAAGGCTGCAAGACCCATGGGCTGAGCAGGACGGGACGTGCCGAGCGGGCGGAGGAAGGGGGGCCCAGCGGGCGGGGATGCGCCCAGCGGGCAGGAATGCAGGGGCGGGGGCAGCCTCGAGGGAGTACTGCATCCGAGCAGACCTTCCGTCGTCTTTTCCCAATCTCCCAGGTACGGGGTTATTGTTGTTGCTGGGATGCCTCCACCTCGCCCTCACTCCCGCCATCTCCCCCCTCCCTGTCCTCAGACTCAACTGCATTCAGGCCCACATTCGGACTCGCAGTCAGTTTCACTCATACTCAGACTTACTTACATTCGGACTCACACGCAATTCCACGGGCACATAGAAACACTCACTCTCTCTCTCTCTCACACCCACACGCAGACTGACTCAAACGTAGACTCACCTCCAGCCCACCCACACTCCCACTCGCACTCAGCCTCCCCCACTCAGACTGGCTCACACTCAAACTAAAATAACACCTGGCAGACGTAGCACTTGAGAACCCCAAGGGAGAACCACCAAGGAATTGGATCGTCCCGCTCGAACTCAAATTGTGGATATGTCTGGCTTAGGAATTGGCATGTCACTTTGCAGGGCCGCATGCACACCGCGATGTGGGAGGCATAGCACGTGAGAACCCCGAGAGGAGCCGCCAAGGCCGGCTCACGCTCAGATTGCGGGGATGGCTAGAACAGCTCGCCTGGTGTGCGAGGTAGATGCGTCTTTCTTCAGGGCCGCGTGATCATCGCGACGTAACAGACATAGCACTTGGACGCAACAAAGTGAAGCTGCCAAGTTCCTTACATTCCCTATGCCCGAAGAACTGATGTATTGCTATTACTGGGCCACCTCCGCCTCACCCTCACCCACTCACTCAGTCGTTCCCGCATCGTCCCGGCTCTCTCACACTCAAGTTTACTTATACTCAGACTCACGCGTATTCAAAGCACAAATATATTCACATCCACTCAAACTTAGACTTACTCATCATCTGACCCACTCATATTCATACTCAATCACAGGCAGACTTACCCACACTCCGCCACTCCTACCCAGACCCACTCATGGTCGCTCCTCACACTCGGACTCAAGCGTGCCCAGCGCGATGTAGCATGCATCGCACGTGGGCACCCCAAGGGGGGAGCCGCCAGGTGGTGCTACACTTGCCTGTTCGCGCACATATTGCGGGTATGTCACTTGCGAAGGGTTCGTCTGGCCCTCCTGACTCCTCTCCGTGCAGGGCCGCATGATCACCGCGACACACCAAGAGGGCGCCGCCAGGGGGTGTTACACTTGCCCGTTCTCGCTCACATTGCGGCGATGTCTAAAGGCCGCGGCCAGCACATTGCCCGGCAGCGGCGCAGGAGGAGTAGGAAGAGGAGCGGGGGCACCGCCTGAATCGGCGACCTGATCGCGCTGATCGACAACCCCCGTAGGTTTCCATGGGCTCGCTGCAAAGGCACTGTCGGCCAAGCCGATAGCGGCCTGGCCCCATAGAGAGCTCCACCGAAGGCTCCAGTTGGACCGCCCGCGTGCGTCATCCACCACCCAGTAGAGCGCTTCGTGGCCCCGTAGGGGGCTCCACCGAAGGCCCCAGCGGGACCGCCCGCATGCGTCATCCACCACCCAGCACAGCGCTTCGTGGTTCCGTAGGGAGCTCCACCGAAGGCTCCAGTGGGACCGCCCGCATGCGTCATCCACTGCCCAGCGCAACATTTCGTGGCTCCATGAAGAGCCCCGCCGAAGGCTCCAGTGGGACCGCCAGCATGCGTCATCCACTACCCAGTACAGCGCTTCGTGGCTTCATAGGGGGCTCCACCCAAGGGCCCAGTGGGACCGCCCGCGTGCGTCATCCACAACCCAGTACAACGTTTCGTGGCCCCGTAGGGGGCTCCACCGAAGGCCCCAGTGGGACCGCCCGCGTGCGTCATCCACCGCCCAGTACAGCATATCGTGGCCCCATAGGGAGCTCCACCGAATGCTCCAGTGGGACCGCCCGCCTGCGTCACCCACCACCCAGTACAGCGCTTCGTGGCCCCATAGAGGGCTTCACCGAAGGCCCCTGTGGGACCAACCGCATGCGTCATCCACTACCCAGCGCAACATTTCGTGGCTCCATGAAGAGCCCCGCCGAAGGCTTCAGTGGGACCGCCAGCATGCGTCATCCACTACCCAGTACAGCGCTTCGTGGCTTCATAGAGGGCTCCACCCAAGGGCCCAGTGGGACCGCCCGCGTGCGTCATCCACAACCCAGTACAACGTTTCGTGGCCCCGTAGAGGGGGCTCCACCGAAGGCCCCACTGGGACCGCCCGCGTGCGTCATCCACCGCCCAGTACAGCATATCGTGGCCCCATAGGGAGCTCCACCGAAGGCTCCAGTGGGACCGCCCGCCTGCGTCACCCACCACCCAGTACAGCGTTTCGTGGCCCCATAGAGGGCCTCACCGAAGGCCCCTGTGGGACCAACCGCATGCGTCATCCACCACCCAGTACAGCGCTTCGTGGCCCCAGAAAGGGGGCTCCACCGAAGGCCCCAGCGGTACCGCCTGCATGCGTCATTTACCACCCAGTACAGCGTTGCGTGTCCCCACAGGGAGCTCCACCTAAGGTCTCCGTGGCGGAACTCGCATGGCGGCCCAGTGGCGGAGTTCGCATGGCGGCGATTTTCGATGTTCGGAAGTCTTCCGTTGTATTCGACGTATTGAAGCCGCTTTCGGGCCGCGCATCCTGGGCGGGGGCAGCCTGCTCGCTCTCTCTGCTCCGCGCAGCGGACGAGCCGCGCGCGTCGCCGGGACCCCTTCGGGGCGACCAGCGCGCGTCGCGGGGACTCCGCGCGGCGCCGCGCCCTCAGCCTTGGACGCGGGGGCGTGCACGGGCAAAGAGGGAGAAGAAAAACGGAAAGGAAGCGGGCGCGATCCTCGCGAGAGGCGTGCCGACATGGGCGTCGACATTTATGCGCGTAGACTCACGCGCGCGCAGACTCATCCACAATCAGACTCACTCGCTCTCAGTCTCTCGCACACAGACCAATCGTCTTCGCTCGCGTTGTGTGCCCCGCCACGCATGTCGGCACGCCCCTCGCACGGTTCGTGGCCCCATAGAGAGCGCGGGCAAAGATGATATTCACAATTGCGGTACTCACAACTGCATATGGTTGGGTCCTTCGCCAGGCTAATCGTATTATTGATTATGGTTGTTGGAGATCTTGACACCTGGAGCGAAAAGAACATCGGGGACCCAAAACAAAATAATGGTCCTACGGGGTCGAATGCAGCACTGTGACGGCCTGTTGCTTCTGATGTGCTTGGCTGCACTGGCAGCTTGTTCGCCAACGCCTCATCGCATCTTCATTCCATCGATTTCGAGTTTCAAGATCATGTGCTGCACCTGGCGCATTTTCCGACGCCCCGAGTCTGCACTTCCTCGCGGGTGGCTCCCAAAGCCGCAGCCAGGACGATTCGGAAGACGCCCAAGAAGAAGCCTTCTAAATGGTCAGCTGGGCGCAGTCATCCTTCTCTAAGCTTGCTTATTCAGCCAGCTGCAGAATCGCCGCCCGCAGAGTTGTGCATTACTGTCAACGAGACGGCAAGGGGGGGCGCTCCTGTCCGCATCGGTAGCGATTGCAGCGGTTGGTGCACCGAGCACGCAGCGTCATTATTTAGCCGTCCTGGACCTCGACGTGATCCACGTCTTCGCGAGCGACACCAACAAAACCGCGCGCAAATTTATCCACCGCTTCTGCCAGCCCCTGCACCTCTACGCAGACATCACCACGAGAGCTGCTCACAACGACTTGGATCTGTACGTCGCGGGCGTCCCGTGCCAGCCTTGGTCGGTTTTGGCGGGAAACTGCGCAGGGCTTTCTGACGCCAAAGGAAGAGGCGGTTTAGTGGAAAACGTAGTCGACTACATCGAGAAGTCGCGCCCGAAGAGATTCCTCTTGGAGAACGTGCCTGTCCTTGAGACAACAATCGTCGATGTGTTAAATCTTGTGATTGGCGCCCTCTGGAGAATCATGGACACCGCAGAGCAGCCCGCCTACGTCGTCTGCTGGAAGATCCTCAAGCCGGACATCGAGGGCGGCCTTCCACAACATCGCCCGCGAGTCTACGTAGTCGGCATCTTGCGGTCCGAGATGCGGGCAGAGTTCAAGTGGCCGGGGCCGATCGAGACCGTGGCGCTGTCTGAGATCCTGCAAGAGCACGCAGGCACGTGGGCCGACTTGGAGAAGCTCAGCGCGACGAAGAAGAACAACGTGATCGAGTGCCTGGCTCAGACATCCCACGAAGGGGCCTTCCACAGGATGTTGATATGATCTTCGACATTGGAGGTATGAAAACAACGAGTATGAAAGGTAGGTGCCCTTGCCTCGCGGTGACGCGGTGCCAAGACCAGGCGTACTTCTCCACCAAGAGGTTCCGCACATTGACCATCGCGGGCATGATGCGCCTCCAGGGCGTCAACGAGGCCAACGGGTGGGAGGACATCCTCTCGACAAGACAGATGGGTGTTTGATCGGTAACGCCATGTGCCAGACGGTTGTCGAGAGGGTGCTGCGCGGCGTCTACAGTAGCCTCGGCGTTCGGTGCAGGGAATCGTCCAGCGGAGTAGGCGTGCGAACGATGAGGCTCGGCTGTGTGGGAAGGAGGGAAGTGAGAGGGATGAGGGAAGGGGGGGGGAAGACGGGGGGGAAGTACGAGGGAAGAGGGAAGCAGGAAAGAAACTCACGGGAAACTCACGGGAAACTCGCCGGAAACTCACCGCCCCGAGTTTTGAAAACGTACCGCAAACTCACCGAAAACTCACCGCTCCCAAAACGGGAAATAGGATGGAAGAAGGATGGGGGAGAAGGGCAGGAGGGATGAGGAGGAGGAGGAGGGAGGGAGGGAGGGAGGGGGGGAGGCAGGGAGGGAGGGGGGAGGATTGACATGAACCTTCGCCTGGAGAGTGCACGCCAGGGCTGAACCAAAGAGCTCAGTCGGAGTTGCAAGACTCCGCCGACCTTGCACGAGCAGCTACGACGGTAGGGGCGGGCCCTGCCTGAACTTGCATCCTCCAATCACTCCAACCCCCTCTCTCTCCTGACACCCTCCCTCCATTGCTTACACCCTCGCCCTCCTTCACTCATAATCTGGCATTATCTCTGCAGGGGGCCAGGCGTCTGGGCGCCGGCAATGAGCGCAACACATCTCTCCGGATCGACGCTCGCCGTCCGCTGAGAGGGGGCCGTCATCAATCATCATCATCATCATCATCATCATCATCATCATCATCATCATCATCATCATCATCATCATCATCATCCTCGTCCTCGTCGTCGTCGTCGTCGTCGTCATCGTCATCATCGTCATCATCGTCATCATCGTCATCATCGTCATCATCGTCATCATCGTCATCATCGTCATCATCATCACCACCATTACCATCATCATTATTATTATCATCATCATCATCATCATCATTGTCATCATCGTCAAAATCATCGTCACCGTCATCATCATCATCATCATCATCATCATCATCATCATCATCATCATCATCATCATCATCGTCATCAGCGTCATCATCAGCCGCATCATCAGCGTCATCATCAGCCGCATCATCATCATCAGCAGACATGGGGACCTTACGGCGGAGCAGGCGAAGCGCAGACATGTAGACCTCGAGGTGATCTGAAGTAATGGGCATGTGAACGTTGACAATATTGCATTGGCCATGTGGACGTTTCATCGTAGTCGAGAGAACCCGTCTTTCAACGAGCGCATGATGAGCAATCTGCGTGAAAAAGGCGGCAAACTTATGGCTGATGGCGGTGATGATTCCGCCAGTACCATCACTGTCAGGAAAGAACGAGTAGCCGAAGGTGTGGGAGGGAATATGAAGAGAGAGAGAGAGAGAGAGAGATGGTCAATGTCTCCTGAGTGTCCGCGAGTTTCCTGGGTAGCAACGATATCCTGGGTCCGACACGTACGCTCAAAGAGGCTCATCTTCTTAGCAGCACGATCCTGACGCAGAGAATGAACAGACATAAGCATACCACCAACATTCCAAGTACATATTGAGAACGGAGAGGGGGGACAGAAAGGGAAGGCAAACTCCCAACAAGCTCCCCGCACGGTGCTAGACTAATTACAAGCGAAAGCTGAGGGGACAGCGGCGCAGGCAGCTCAGAAGACGCAGAGATGACGAGAGAGATGCAAGTCTTGATAAACAGTACATGTGTGTACAGATAGTTATATGTGTGCGTGTATTGTGAGCACATATACATAGACATACCTGAACGCAAAATGCGTAGACAACCGCGCTCACGAGAACGACCCCGCGCGACCCCTGCTTGGATCTCGGTGCATCGAGGTGATTGGCCAGCGCTTAACCACAATCGAATAATCGATGTGGTCACGGGCGCGGAAAAAAAGGGGGAAGAGCGCGAGAATATGAGAAGGTTCGAGATATCAATTGGAATGACGGGGCCCGAACGGTCTTACAACACCCCTGTGTGGGTGGCTGAAATGGGAGTCCGCAGCGCGGATTCTCGTTCGTTTGTTGTTGTGTGTGCTGTTGTTGTCGTCGCCCCCCCGCGACCCACCCCACGACCCACCCTCAACCCACCCGCGACGCAACTTGCCCCGCGGCCAGCCCGCGACCCGTCGCGCGCGCTTGATCAGAGGGTTCCTTCGCATCTTTAAATACGACCACGGTATAACCCTTTAAGGTGCGAAAACATACGATCGAATAATCTAACCATCATTTCATTCGATCGGATAAAGTGGGTCGTCTTCTTCGATCCGAACCACGAACGTCGAAAACCAAATTCCTAATTACACCTTTTCTTTGACCCCCCCCCCAGAATTTGGAACACCAGGCAAATCATCTTCATCAGCATCACCATCCGGATCGTCATCGGCAACGTCGTCATCATCATCATCATCATCATCAGCATCGACCATGCGTGGTTCGGACCGAAGAACATGACCTAATTCGATCGGATAAAATGATGGTCATCTTCTTCGATCGTAACTATCTCATCTTAAAGGGTGTATGGTCATACTTTGGGCTGCGAGAGTACCCTCTGATCAAGCGCGCGCGACGGGTCGCGGGCGGGCCGCGGGGCAAGTTGCGTCGCGGGTGGGTCGCGGGATGGGCCACGGGGGGGACGACGACAACAACGGCGACACACAACAACAAACAAACGATAATCCGCGCCGCGGACTCCACCTTCAGCCACGCACCCAGGGATGGTGTATGACCGTTCGGGCCCCCTCAGTCTGATTCATATCTCGAACCTTTTCATCATCCCCCTCCCCCCGCCTCCTGCCCCCGTCTTTTTTCGCTCGCCCGCGACCCCATCGATTATTCGATTGTGGTTATGCACTGGCCAGATGGTCTGAGGCGCACTGGAAATGCACCTGGTTGGGCCAACCGACGTGGCCGCCAAACGCAGCCACGCCACTTTCAAGCCTTTCTAAAGACACCCCAGAGGAGGGGCTTGCAAGACCGGGGGGGGGGAAGGGAGGAAGAGACAGCCTTCCTCCTCCTCCTCCTCCTGCCTCCTCGCGCCGGCTCGACTAGACTCGACCGAAGGCGTGAGGGTGTCCGCTGCCTGTTCTGGAGAAGGGGCGCGGGGAGAGAGAACGACGGCAAGAGCACGAGAGACCACCGAAATTGAGGATGGGGAGGATGGCGAACGGTCTGGCCTCCGTAGATTCGATCCGCCCGCATCTCGGTACCTACTTTTGTCACCGCGGAGCGCGCCCAGAGAGGCACTGCTGAGGTCGAGAGGTCGAGCTCAGAAACGAGCCGGCTGTCACCAGCGAGCTCATATGCCAATCCGTCGCAACGAACAGGCCCTGAGATTGCAAACTTGGCTGCGATACTCGTTCCAAGCCACCAGCGTGATGCTTTTGGAGAACTGCCGTGGTTCCTCGATGTCGGGCACTGGGCACCGTACTCGGGCCCTGCCTGCGAGAGACGACCTGGGACGAAAGAACACCTCCGAGGGAAGGGGCCGAGTGCTCCGAGGCCCACGGTTCGACGAATCATAGCGACGAATACTACGACGTACGCTCATGAGGAGGAGGAGGAGGAAAAGGATGAGGACGAGGATGAGGATGAGGATGATGATGATGAGTAGGAGGAGGAGGAGGAGGAGGAAGAGGAGGAGGAGGAAGAGGAGGAGGAGGAAGCATAGCGACGTCAGAGCTCTGGGACTGCACCTGCCTCGAGGTGCGCCCCGCGGCCGAGCAGTGAGCACTGCACAACATACAGGCTGCCAGCAGAATCGCCTCCGCCGCGCGCCCTCCCAGGGCACAAAGGGTCGGGGGAGGTTGGCTATTCTTTCTGGGGACCTTCCTGAGGCCACTCACTCGACTCACGCGTCGACGGTGCGCCGGACGTCCGCCGACTTGAGTCGAACTGGAGCCGAACTATACAGTCGGGGCGTTGACTTAAGGAACCCCAGATAAGGAACGAGGCCCCCTTTTCCCATTAGTTAAACTTCGACTTCCCATGGAGAACCTCAGGAAAGCCCAAGGCAAACTGTAAAACAATCAAGGAACACCGAGCCCCTCCCCAACGAAAAGGGTTCCTTATTCAGCGCCCCGACTGTAGTCAAACCGGAATCGATCAGATCCGTTAGTAGAGGGAGCCAGAGCTGCGTAAACACGAACGATCGGAGCACCGCGCGGATTTCTTGGGTCGGCGCTGGCCATTCCTGGCGGCGCCTGCGGCGCCGCCCCTGGCACGTTCCGCGCGCCAAGGGAGGGAGTCCAGCGCTGATCCAAACGTTTCTGGTTACGCAGTTCTCGGATGCAACGGGCCCCAGGAAGGGCCCCCGAAACGAGCCCCCACGGAGGCGTCAATGCGGAAAGCAGCGGGCGAATTCGATTTGGCCTCAGTTCAGGAGACAGGCAGGCGCCCTCACACGCGAGCCTTCAAACACCATTCGGGTGTTGCTAGAAGTGCCCCTGGCCCGAGGTGCCCCCAGGATTTCCAAGGAGGCCCCCCGCGGCCTCGAGAGCACCCTTCACGAGGCCCAGAGTGCTCCGGGGGCTCCAGAACTGAGCGGAAAGCTGGGGGCACCTTGGGCCAGGGGCGCCTTAAGTAACCCCCGAACCATCTGCGTGAGGAAGAGGGCCCCGCCGGCAAGCCCCACGCCCAGCCCCCGCACCGCGGACAGGCCAGAGAACACGCACCCCAGCAGCACTCCCGCGGCGCCCGAGGCCGCCATGATCAGCGCGGCCAGGATCAGCGCGTTGCTCAAGGCCACCGCCACGCCGAGGCCCTCGAGGCCCTCGCCCATGTCGAACGCGCCGAACGACTCCCCCACGAAGTCGTGATCACAACCCCTGCCCAGGCAGGCCCTGGACCTCACCTGTGCGGCGCCGTGCTGGTGAGGGGGATCGTTAGGGGGAGACTGGCTCAGGGGGGGAAGGGCCTGCCCTGCTCCTCCTCCTCCTCCTCCTCCTCCTCCTCCTCCTCCTCCTCCCTCCTTCCTCCCTTCCTCCTTCCTCCTTCCTCCTTCCTCCTTCCTCCTTCCTCCTTCCTCCTCCTCCTCCCAGTGGCGCTGGGTGGAGGCGCGCAGAGCCCGAGGGGCCGTCGCGCGCCGCGCACGCTGAGCGTGCGGGCGCCCGCTGAGGCAGGCGCGAGGGCCCGCTGCGCGTGGGGCGCGCGGGCGCGGGGGAGGCGGCACCGCTCCCTCCGATGCTCGTTCCTCCTCCTCCTCCTCCTCCTCCTCCTCCTCCTCCCTCCTCCTCCTCCTCCTCCCTACTGTCCCTCCTCCTCTCCCCCTAAGCCCTCCTTTTCCTTCTCCCCCTTCCCTCCTCCTCATACTCCTCCTCCTCCTCCTCCTCTCCTCCTCTCCTCCTCCTCCTCCTCCCTCCTTCCTCCTTCCTCCTTCCACCTTCTCGTGTGGGGGGGGGGGGGGGCAGAGCGCCGACCCAGAGTCGGCGATACGTCGCCGACGGCTCGGCCATAACCTCCCGATACCAAAACCAAGCGTTGTTCGGTGGGGACGGGGCCACGAGAGGGGGGCCACGAGGGGCTGCAACGGGGCCACGAAGGGCAGCGAGGGGGGCCACGGAGGGCTGCAAATGAGCCACGGAGGGCAGCGAGGGGGCAACGAAGGGCTGCAACGGGGCCACGAAACAAAGCGAGGGGGCCACGAAGGGCTGCAACGGGGCCACGAAAGGCCACGAGGGGCTGCAAAGGGGCCACGAAACAAAGCGAGGGGGCCACGAAGGGCTGCAACGGGCCACGGAGGGCTGCAAAGGGG